TCTGCCTTGTAAATAGTCTGATACTGAACCATGATGAAAAGGCATGATGGTCAAAGTAATCTGGCAGTAAAGTGTTTACTATTGGAAAATGGAAGAAGACCATCTATGTAGATCTGGTAACAGAAGAGCCACTTTTTGCTTGATACCAACTGTCCTGCTATAGGACTGTCACTTCCCATCAGGCTGGGCCTCTATGACCACTTATTGTTTGGCTGTCAGAATGAATGAATGAATGAATGAATGAATGAATAAAATGTGAAATATTGTCTTGCAAACAAAGTAACATTAGGAGTCCACAAGGCAACAGTAAGTGGCTGCCATGACCTGTGAAGGTAGTGCCTTCTGCCAGAACCCAACGACTATATGCCTGCTACTGCCTGAGCATTGCAAGCTGGAAGCCAGGGTTGGGGGGGGGGGCTAGGAAAAATCAGAGGAGAGGACTTGCTTCAGCGGTAAGCCCACCTCCACGTCTTAGAGCCAGCCTTATTGCTCTAGTGAGTACTGGGGTTTTTTTGCTGGTCAGGACTGCTTGGACAAGAGGAAGAGGCCATCAGTTGATGTGGTAAGGGATTCCTCTCACTAAATGGCATGCCAGTGGCACAAGCAAGGGTTGTGAGCAGCTTCAGTAGCAACAAAACAGGGTACCAGGTGAGCAGCTGCTTTGAGGGTCAATGTGATACAGTCAAGGCCAATCATTGCCCTGTCAGAAACTTCTCATAAATAAGACAGCAACACTTGAAAGGATAGGTGAAAAGCATATTAACAAGGTTTTTCTTGAATTTAAGGTATTACCGTAGTCATGCCGTATAATCCCCCAAACAGATTGAAATGTTAGTATTTGAGGGAAAGAGTCTAGTAGATATATATGTATTTGGGTACCGAGTGCTAAAAGACTTACATCTGGGTCCTATCCTTATCTCTTTTATATCCTAAAACCAAGCCAGACAATGTTTTATAAATTGGGACTGTCCTCGGGTTTAGTAATTTGGAAAATATGCAGTCCAGTATTTTGTACTTCTGATTTTTTTTTGTTCTTTCTAGATATGCATATGATGGTTGCTAAACCAGAACAGTGGGTAAAACCTATGGCTGTAGCCGGTGCAAATCAGTATACCTTTCATATAGAAGCTACCGATAATGCAGGGGCCCTCATCAAAGATATAAGAGAAAATGGAATGAAGGTGAGAGGTTTGGAATTGATAGAATTTAGTAACTCTTCTTTTCAACTAACGGTTAGCACTTGCTTGGGGTTAGATAAGGGTCAATGGAGTTCAAGGGAAGGGGGGGCTGGACTTAGTTCTGTTGTGGTTACACAAGGATTCTAAGCTGATCCTTATTTTAATTCCACTCCCAGATTCTGCTATTCTTTCTCCTACATTGTATCTCTATTCCTTTAAAATACCAAAGAAATCTACATTGTATTACAAAAATCTGATTTTTTTTCCTTCTGTTCAGTTGTATCCAATTCTGGAGACAACATGGACAAGTCCCTGCAGTTTTCTTGGCAAGATTTTTCAGAAGTGGTTTTCCATTGCCTTCTTCCTAAGAAACTAATGGCTCAAGGTCACCAAGACAAAACTAGAATTCATGGTCTCCTGATTTCTCATCTGATGTCTTAACCACTATACAAAATTGGCTACTAAGGTGTTACAGTTCAGTAAAATAATCCCTAACCTCACATATCTCTGTATGTCACATTAGATCTTCTATATTCTAGGACAGTGTCTCCTGTATTGTGGCTGATAGATAGCCACACTTTATTTTTCTAGTTGCCTTCATTATGTTAATGTGAGAAATACTGTTCTAAATATTTTCTAATTGATAAGAATTAAAGCTCAGACTAGGAACCATGCAGAAAAAAGAATACTACACTCTACCCCAAGAAAGTAATTCAGCATTTTTGTATTTGATGTGATTGAGTTCTTAGATATATCTGATGGCAAACATGGGGCAGAATAACTTGAATCTTAGAGGCTGTGCTTAGAAAGAGACACGGCAGAGCTATGATGTTGGGTGCTTTGTACTGACAGGTGCTTTCAAATATTTTTCTGGTAACACAGTAGGAATTATTGTGTTACATTGTTTAAAAAGTATTGTAAAGAATATATTTAGGATTATAGTTTAGGATATGGGCAACCATAGTCATATGTATGCATATGGGTTATGTACCCATATATACCCTAGACCTGTTCCCCTACTTCTAACACTATCAGCTCAACTAAATTTGATAAGGTAGATTATCTCCTATATTCATTGTGCTATTTACTTGTTTCTGACTTGCTAATGTTTTGTTCTCTTTGGAACAAAAGAGCTCCATTCAAAATGTTCATTGGACAGTTTTAACTGCCAGTTTTCCTGCAGAAACTTCCTCAAAAAGTTTCGAGTGTTTTCTGTTTGAATGGAATAAACACTTGAAACTTTTCAATGTCCCATCATTTGCAGTAACTCAAGCCTTTTACTTTTCTCCCCAGTTGCACAAATGTAAATGAACAGTGTAGTCTCTGCTTATTGCTATTTACCATCTGACTTACAAAAAGTTGGAATGATTTTGCATATCTCATTAACAGCCACATAATTAAATCCAACAGAGCAGACAGTAGAATCACTTTAACTCAACTCATAACTTAGCAAATGCAACAATACACTTCTCTGTGAAAAATATACATCAGTATAATTTTGCATATGTACCCTCATAGCAGTACCTGTAACACATATGTTATGTATTGTATACTTTGAAATCTGAATTTTTGAAAAGGAATCTCAACAGAATACTCTAGAATGTTACACCTGCTTATACAAAACATCTCACCCTGATTCCTATTCTTCTCTTAGCTAGCTCCAGCCCATAGGAGCAAAGATGAAGCTAATTTACTCCATGTCTGTATGGTCTGAAAAGTTTAGAAGGAACTCCCACCTTTACAAATGTCAAGACACTCAAAGCAACATATATTGATCCTCTCCTCCATTTTTTCTTAAATTTAAAACAGTGGATTTTTTCTTTGAGCCCAAACACTAAAATACTTTGAAATTAGACACTTTGCACATACATACCAATCACTATAATGGGTGCTTAATGAATGCTGTTTAATCACAAGTTTAAGACCAATGCATCCATACGCATATTAAGCAAATGTTAGCTTAGTACAGGGGTGTCAAACTGCCGGCCCGTGGGCCGGACGTGTCATCCGGAAGCCACGCCCACCCCATTGCCGGCAATGGCAAAAATGTCCCGATACGTCTCACGACATCACGTGACGTTGCGAGTTTGACATGTCTGGCTTAGTGGCTTTACATTGTAAGTAATCTTTTTCTTCACCATTGAAAAATGTTTATTTGGCAGAACTTTTTACTAATATCTGGTGGGAATCAATTTGAATCTTTTTGTTTCTTTTCTAAAAGAAAGATTCAGGGTACAAGTTGTTTTAATATTTTGGTCCTTTTCTTCTTTAGGTTGGTTTGGCTATCAAACCAGGAACCACAGTAGATTTTTTAGCACCATGGGCCAATCAGATAGACATGGCTTTAGTTATGACAGTGGAACCTGGTTTTGGTGGACAAACGTTCATGGAAGATATGATGCCAAAGGTAAGTTTGCAAATTATTTCAAAAATCCCAGTGTTATGAAAAATGGGAACAAACATTTTAACTGAGAATCTTCATACTATACATTGATGTCTAATTTTGCGTATTTTGAGAAAAATAATTACTGCTCCTATTAATTGATATTGTTCTTTCTGCATTGCTAACTAGGTTCACTGGCTGAGAACCCAGTTTCCTTCTTTGGATATTGAAGTAGATGGTGGTGTAGGGCCAGACACTATACATAAATGTGCAGAGGTAAGACTAAGAGGCAGTCCACGTTAGATGAAAAATGGTAATTATTGGAACGTTATGCCTAGGTAATCCAGTTTTTTAAATCTCAGTTTAATATTATTTTTCATTCTGATTAAATATAGAAGTAAGTTTTTCGAAAAACATTTGAGTATTCATTTGGTACTTTTGACAGCCCTTGATGTTTCTTGCTGATTAGGAGTAACAAGAAAAGTATAATTAAAGGTGCTGATCTGGCTAACTGCTGTTTGTTTCTGTTAGAATGTATACATTATATTTCACAATTTTCTATAATTAATAATTGTTGCATGCTTATTTTAAAAATTCTAATGCAGTGTCATGGGATTTGCTTTTAGGCAGGTGCAAATATGATTGTGTCTGGGAGTGCTGTAATGAAGAGTGACGACCCTAGATCTGTGATTAACCTTCTGAGGAATGTCTGTTGTGAAGCTGCTCAAAAGCGTTCTCTTGATCGGTAAAATCGGGTGGCAGCCGAATGGGTTGCATTTTATTGTTGTTGTGGGTGGGTTGGAATACCATTGTGGAATAAAACAGGACATCAACTTTGAAGTCTCATTTTATGACCAAAAAACTAAGCACAGTACATAGTAAGAGTGTCTTGTGATCTTGGAGAAAACATTCTTTTTTTCCTCCTTTATTTCATGCAGCAGTTTGTCATGGAAAAGCTTTAAAAAAAAATTTAAATACAAATGTGGTAATTCCTTAAAATAAAATGCTAGATAATAAGCCCTTGAATTGGAAAAGTTTGAAGGGTGACTTGGCCTTGATAAACAATTATAGGTCCAATCCACTTTAAGAATAAAAATGGGAGGATAAATATGAGAAATGGAAGGATGGAAATAATGGAGCAGGAAATCTGCTTCAATGTTCTGAGTATGAAAATAACAGCAAAAGTTGCAAACGGTTAAAAAGATAAGATCATGGATATATAATCTGTAAAACTTTTAAAATTTGTCATCAATTGTAACTGTTACAATGACAGAAGGAAAAACTATTAAATACGTGGAAAGTAATTTACATTAAATGTAGTTATCTTCTTGGAATCCACCCAATTCTTGGTTGTACCCTCATCCTGAAAAAGAATGCATACCTGGGCTTTGAAGCAATGTTAATTATCATTCAGCTTGTATAAGTTACTTGCAAATTGAAAATAATTTGTTTTTTATATATATGCACATATGCACATTCTTTTTGATTCCCAATTTATACAGATGTTTCAGAAATTTCATTGTAGATGTACAGTTCATACTATAAAAGTAGTTAAGGAAATTTTATGATTTGGTGCCTGTCAAATGCCTTTTGAATGAAAAACAAGTCTTCCAGTCAAAATTGGCACATCAAATTACAACATTTCTATCATTTTCTTAAGACAAACAGGATAATGAAGACAAATATTGCAATTCTCTTTTCAGTGGAATGTTTGACATTAATTTCTTTAATTGGCTTTATTAAAAATATGTTTTGAAATTAAAAAAAAAACTTGGTCCATTTCCTGCCCTTTTCATGCTGAAAAAACAGTGGGAGACACAATATTAAAGAACAGGGATGTACAGATCTTTTTTAAAAAACAAAATGTTGATACCTGTATCCATTTGCACGAAGAATAAGCTAAAGAGTATAAAAACAAGAAAATATATAGAGCCTTTTTCTGTTGTCCAATTGTATTAAAATAAATATTTTTTACTCCAGGTCTGGGCAGATGAGGTAGTTAAATGCATACTTTTTGCTGTTTTGGGAACTGATAGCAAACTTTTAGGGGTTCTGGCTCTGTTTATCTAATCTGCAAAGGCTGCAATCCTTTGGCTAAGATTTGGCTAAGAGTAAGCCCTAGTGAATTCAACAGAATATTTAATAAAACAATAAATTTGACTAAGAAATTTTGCGTATGTTAAGAATAATACAATATAATTGTTTACATAGCTCTTTAAATTCATTTAAAATAACTAAGTAAAAGTTAGCACACATATAACAGGCATCTATAATAGACCAAAGCAATATATGTATGAATTGCATCTCCTTCACTTGTCATCAACTGTAAGAATAGAAGATGTTCACAAGATATTTATTACTATGAAAAAAGTAACTTACCAGAAAAAAGAATTTCATCTTTCAAATGATCAAAGCCCACCATTTAGCTCATTGTAATAAAGATGTAAGTCATAATTAGCTCTGTTTTAAGAGTGAAAATCAAATCAATAAAATAAAAATCCTTTTTTAAAGACTGCATGTTTTCATTTTTCACATTCTGTCTGGATATTCATATATTAGAAGTCACTGTAATTTATATATTAAAAAGAAATGTGAGTAAGATGATAAACCAGAAATAAGGTTGACCAACAAAAATACAGACTTCAGTTTTGGAAAGTAAATCAGAGGGGAAAAAATGTTGTTTCATATTCATCACAATTACGTAAAACATTTGATGCCAAGCCAACAGTATCTCCCAATCATGATTTGTCATAATTAAATACAAAATACTAAAGGGATATTATATTTATGTTCATTTTTGTTACACATTTCAATCCATTAACATCACACTGTAGTATAGAGAAATAACTTTTAATTTTAAAACCTTGCATTGAAAATTGGTATATCAGGCAAGATTCAAAGTTAATTTTCTGGACAAAATATTTAAAAAGCTAAAACCAAAATATACAGGAAACTACAATCTAACATAGGCTGTAGTGTGAAAATGCAACTTAACATTTTTATATTAGCCAGTGTACTTCTAATCTGCTGGGACAATGGAACACTAAAATTTGGCCATCTATCCATTAAAGCTAACTTTGGATAATGATAGTTTTAAAAAGCATACTTAATAATCGTATGTTAATAAAAACCATCAATAGTTCCTCACAGAAGAGCTATCTTGAATTGGTATCATTAAATGCACACAACAGTCCTGTGCAATATCTATTCACCTAGCATCCCTGGTGGATACAGATAACATTGCAATGCAGCATTTTGAAATTTGAATGAGAACTTTTTCATCTGTCTTCTCATTACCTAAAAGAGCTATTTTGTCTTGCTCATAATGCTTATATTTAAATGTCCTTTTTTCCATATATATTTAAAGTTTCTAAGATACAAAAATGGATGCTCATAATCCGCTGATTGTAACACATACATAGTATTTGTAGGGATACAAAAAGAGTTAAATAAGTATAAATACTGCTAAATGCAATAAAATATTAGATTCCCTTACTTCAAAAATCTGGATTTCTCAGATACTTCTAGTACTTACCTTTAAAATAATGGCGGTGAGGGAGAAATCCATTGAAGTACAGAAAATTAAATCATTTAAGCTGACTTTATCTCATCTGTAGTTTTAACTTGTCTAGCCTAATGAATTCAAGTATATGTTCTATTAATAAATTTATAGATTGTTGATTTTTTTACCACTTGCTAAATGCAAAGATATATTTTGCTGCATTGCAATAACTAGACACTTTGCATATTTGATCAAGATTGAACGGTGATTTGAGGTTACAGTTTAAGAGCATCCACTTTTCACATCAAGTATGTTAGTCTACTGGACAGAAAACATTCTTGGAATTCAGATAAATAAATAGCTCTTGCATTCTCATCCTGCCTGTAAAAAAAGTAAAAAAATATATTGTAATTATTAATATTATGACGAAAATTATTGCTTACATGAAATATATGAAAAATTATTGCTTGCATGAAATATATGAAAATATATTACCTTACATCTTCCTTCAGCTTGATTTACTTTCCTAAATAAGCAACTTTACTCTCTGTCACGTCTGTTTTCTTCCCAAGTAAATTTGGTGGTGGTCTTCCACTTCAGAGATAGAACTCTCCTTTTGTGACTGGTTATCATTCAGAAAACTAAAGGCAGTGTATGGGTTATGGTCAGAGTCTCTAAGAACAGACATATTTGAACATTCTTGATGAGCTGCTGGCTGACGCTGGGGTATTAAAGCTTCTACTTCTTCATTTTTTAGTGGAAAAGCCCGACATTCCCAGAGAAGAGTCTGGCAGAGATGAAGGATAAAATAAAAGGCATTGAAAACAAACTTTTATCAAAGCATTTGTCTTACCACTATTTTTAAGATTAGTCACCCCCCTCCAGATAGGAAGGGGGAATCCTCTTAATTTTTCAACAGATGTTGGAAAGAAAAGAGTAAGAAATGCAAATGGCTGCAGATATTACTGCTGCACTAACTGGATGCCCTGGAAAAAAAGCAACTACTATGGTGAGGCTGCCTGTAAGCCTTTTATAATGCTTAAATAAGTTATTATAAAATAATAACTTGACTCTTCTTCCCTATCCTAGTCTTCCTGGATGGGTGGGATATAAATTTGACAAAGTTGTGGTTATTAACAAATTGCTTCTTCCCCTTTCCTATCTGTATCCAATTTTGTTTCCTCCCCCTCTCTTCCCTACCCTTCACCTCATCCCCTTTTCATTCCGTTATCCCCACCTCACCTCCTTTTTCTGTATCTGCCAGAATGGAAAGGAAGATGTGCTTGTGTATGTAAAAGAAAGAGGAAAAATATGGCTACATACACTGGAGATCAATTCATTTTGTAAGTGGTATTTTTTCTACAGGCATCAATTTAATTAGAAACAAACTGTGATTCTCTCATTAGTTGTAGGAAGTTGTTTCAAGCCCACGTTCATATTCAAGTTTTTCACATATGCACATTATGAAGGAAGAAAGGAATCTCCAAAAATGATTTCAGCTGAAATTAGTAACTAGCTGACAAGGAAGAAAGCTGGGCACTCAGGAGTTTTTTTAACATGGTCTTTTTAAGCAGTAAAAGTTCAAGTTTATCTTTGGAGTAAATATGCTATATATGTTCTACAAAATATTTGAAACAATTCTTAATTCTGATACTGGAAACTCTAAAGCTCTGAAATCACACCATTCACACCAACAGAAAAATTTACACAATGACAAAATAGACCAGTTTTATTTAGAAGGTTTAATTAAACAGATTGGGGAAGCCTCATGCAATATAGTCTTACACACTACCCCCAAATAAATAAATTATTGCAATGAAACAAATACGTATTGAGTTGCACTTCTCCAATGCAATACTGTCTACTGAAAATTAATCTCACTGCGTTCACCTGGATGGTGTGTGCGTGTGTATATTTTCCCAACTAAGTCTTAAAGCTAAAAAAAAAAAGCATTAGGAGGTTTACATAAAAACTAAATAAAGTATTCGGGTATATTAAAAATGCTTTAATGAACGACAACACAAACACTTTATAACACAAATGATCTAAGCAGGATTGCTAAGTAGCTCAGTTTGGTCCTTTTAACTGCTCTTCAGTAAACTCAATAATTAAATGCTTATATTTAAATTGTGTATTCATTAATTGTGTGCATTACCATTGATTGGTTTCCCCCCGAAGACTCTGATGTTCCCAAGTACTGAGAATTGTAGACTTCTGAAGTTACGCCTGCAGTGTTTTCCGAAATATAGGTTGTTAAATTAGAATTTGCTTGTTTTTCTTTCAGTGATGCATCTTGTTCCTCAAAATTTCTGCTATATGATCTATAATGAAATAAAATAAGCTCTAGTTTCTTTCATTAGCAATGATCTGATGAACAATAAGATAATGGAGGAAGAATCTATAAAATCTCTAACAAAAAATTTAATTCTAAAGGAAACTTTTAGGAACAAAAACATACTCTTTCCACTGTATACAAAGTTTTTTATATTTTTAATCAGTCTTGTTAATGTTTCATTTATGAAACAATCCATAATCTTTCTGTGATTCTTTCTGTCCTACATCTTTTAAAAATAATTTTACCTTAATAGTAAAGGATTAATGAGAAAAGAGATTGCTGCAAATGATGAAAGAGAAGATAGCAAAGATTGTATTCTTTTTGATTTCTTGGAATCACAATGTAAGAAAGGTGCCAAATAATCCTGTATTATAGAGTTAATACCCATGTGATCAAATCTATGGAGCATATTTTTCTAGGTTATATCTTTTCCATTTGATTTGATTTGATTCTATTGACTATATTACTACTAAAAGTATATGGAGCTCCATTATAACATCAAAGACATGACTGGAATACATCACGAACTGCTCCTATGCAAGCTTCAAGTTAAAGCTAAAGAAGAAGAAAGCCAGTCAGTTTATATGATGTAATCTTGAATATATATCCACCATTTTAAAGAAGAACATTGGGAATAGCTTTCAAGTCCTGAACCTCATTAATACAGAATTATGGAATGAGATTAAAGAAATTGTTAAGGATAACAATTTGTGAAAGGAAACTGCTGAAAATGAAGGAAGAGAAGAAAACAAATTGGATGTCAGAATAAATTAGAAATTGGCAAGAACAGAACAGAAGCCAAAGCCAGGAAACAGAAAAAAATCTCAGAAAAGAATTAAACTAAAGAGCTTTTAGAAAAGACAAAAAGCATTTTTATGGCAAAGGAAATGCCACAAATTAAAGTTAGGCATGCAAAGGAAAGAGAAAGATTAGGTTTACCAAACTTGAAATTATAATTTGCTGCTGGTTGCTTGGTCTGGATGAAAGAATGGATGTTGCTGAGAAAACAACAGACTTTTACAGTTAGAAAGGTTCAGATGGTATGGATATTTATGGTATAATAAAGTTAAAATTGACATGGATTTTAAAAATCATTTTATTAGGCATGCCATATTGAGAATATGGAATAGATATAAACCCAGGTTGTGTTTGAAAACANGCTGCTGGTTGCTTGGTCTGGATGAAAGAATGGATGTTGCTGAGAAAACAACAGACTTTTACAGTTAGAAAGGTTCAGATGGTATGGATATTTATGGTATAATAAAGTTAAAATTGACATGGATTTTAAAAATCATTTTATTAGGCATGCCATATTGAGAATATGGAATAGATATAAACCCAGGTTGTGTTTGAAAACATCTTTATGATCTCAGTTCAAGAAAGATATAGAAGAGAATTGCCAGAGAAAGATAAATGGCTGATGTACTAGGATTTACTGGAAAACTATCAAGTGGAATTTAAAATCAAATCAAGAGCAATTAATAGCAGAAGGATATAGAGTAGTTGCCCATGTTCCCATTTATAGTTATTTGAAAAATTTAAAATGTATAAAAGATTTATGGTATGGAATAAAGTCAGAGTTTGAAATACAATTATTTACTGATGAATATGTAATTGCTAAAATGTAGGTTTGTTGAAGTTTGAACAGGAAGAACAGATTAAAGAATGTATGATAAAGTAGACTAAGATTTTTGGTTATTTGGATGGAATAATGGGAAAATATGTGGTCAAAAGGGCTGAACTTTCCATGGTATGATTCAAAGAATTTTTATAAAATGATATTAGCATGGCATCAGAGAAATTATCTAGAATGTATAAAAGCATTTCAAATATTTCAAAATGTGAACAAAATTGGACTAAATACATACTTAGATACAGAGATTTTTTAAAAAATCAATGTTCAATTAAAGCCAGAACTTTTCCTTTTAGGATTAATGGATAAACAGTTAGAAAAAAAGCCACGGAAGAGTACTTCAAAATATGATTACTGCACCAAGATTACTATATGTACGGAGATGGAAAGAGTAGGCACTATGCATTGTGGAGGAGTGACTGAAGTTGACAGATTTTACTGAGATGATTAAATTGACTCTTTTGATTAGAGAAAAGAAATTATTTTTATTGAACACTGAGTCCAGGTTAGTGAAGGAGTCCGACAAGGCTGCATACCTTCTTATTTACTCATTCTATGCATGGAAGGGAAGGGAAGCTGGATTGGAAGAAGAATGTGGTTTTAAAATTGGAGGAAGAAATATACTGCACTATGCTGACAACACTATCTTGATAGCTGAAAATGCAAAGGATATGCAAATCAAAATGCAAAGTCAAAAGGCACAGTACAAAAATGGGAATAAAATATAAACAAGACCAAATTAATCGTAACAGGTGGAACAACCAGTATTAGAATTGACAACGAAGATACTGAAGTGGTGGACAACTTTGGCTTTTTAGGATGAACCATCAACAGTAAAGGAACAAGCAATCAAGAAATAATCTGGAGACTAGTATCCGACAGAACAGTTATGAAAGCCTTGGAAAAGATATTCATGGGCTATGATGTATCTATAACTACAAAGATCAAAATCATGCTAGCCATGATATTTCCTATGACACACTATGGAAGCAAAAGTTGGACTTTAAAGAAGCAGGATAGAATTGAGGCTTTTGAACTTCGTGTTGGAGAAAACTCCTGGGAATATTGTGGACAGCCAAGAAAGCTGATGGATTATTGAATAAATAGACCCAGAGTTCTCACTCAAGGCACAAATGACCAGGCTCAATGCATCCAACTTTGGACACATTATGCTAAAACCCGGCTCTCTTGAAAAGGCTTTAATGTTGGGAAAGATAGAAATTGCCTCCCTTTAATAAAGATTTGAATTATTATATTGGATTTCTGGTCATCAACCATAATCATTTTTTTTATTTGGTTTGTCCTGCAGAACTCCACATCAGAATTTCAGTTGTTCAGAATTTTTGATGAAACGATCATGTTCTTGGTGTGGTTTTTGCCTGCACCCTCACTTTTGTAAGACTACTGTAGTAACACAGCCCTTGGATTATTCTTTTGTCTTAGTTCTGATAAAAGAGATTCAATTTCCCAGGCTTGGATTTCTTCCTAAATAACCCTGGTTCTAGCATTGGACACCGACTTGCTTAGAAGAGGGTATCCACACTGTTAATCAGCTGAATATTCTTATTTGGAAGTTATTTGACTGCAAGTAATATTCAGTTTCAATGTTTCTTGATACTAAATTGTTGACAACTGAAATTTTCAATTCATTTATTATGGGGCATATTCCTTGTTTCTTTCTTTGATTTCTCCTGTAAATAATCCTTTTCGTTTTCCTGATTTTCAGCCCAATTTAAGAAATGCTAAGAACTAAACCAAAAGCAAACTCTCCGGACTTGGCTTGAATTGTAGTCAGCATCTCAATTTCGGTTAACATAATGTAAAATTCCTGAGTTTTTACTACAGGTAGCCCATGATTTATAACAGTTCGTTTAGTGACCATTCAAAGTTACAATGGTACTGACCGTTTTTCAAACAACCATTGTGACATCCCCATGGTCACGTGATCAAAAATCAGATGCTTGGCATATTTATGACAGTTGCAGTGTCCTGGGGTCATGTGATCATCTTTTGTGACCTTCTGATAAGCAAAGTCAATGAGGAAGCCAGATTCACTTAACAGCCATGTTACTTACTTAACAACTGCAGTGATTCACTTAACATCTGTGGCAAGAAAAACCTTAAAATGGTGCAAAACTAACTTAACAAATATCTCATTTAGCAACATAGATTTTGGATTCAATTGTGGTTTTAAGTCAAGGACTACCTGTATTCACTTTGTGACCGATCAAAGTTATAATAGTGGTGAAAAAAGGGACTTATGACTGTTTTTCACATTTACAACCATTGCAGCTTCCTCATGGTGAGGGGTTCAAAATTTGGATGCTTGGCAACCATATTTATGACCGTTGCACTGTCCTGGGTCATGTGATTATCATTTGTAACTTTCCCAGACAGGTTCGGACAAGCAAATGCAATAGGGGGAGGAAGCTGGATTCACTTGAAAACTGTGATTCACTTAACGACTGCAGTGATTCCATTAACAATTGTGGCAAGAGATCGTAAAATGGGGCAAAACTCATTTAACAACTGCCTGGCTTAGCAATGGAAATTTTAGGCTCAATTGTGGCCATACGTTGAGGACTACCTGTGTTTTAACCAAGATTATATTATTGAGTTCACTGCCAAATTTCCTTTGGGACTCATCCATCATTGCTCTACAACTTCTATGCTATGAACTAAACATTTAGAACTTGACCAAAAAGATGCAATAGTACCAATCCCCTCATACTATGCTGTTAAGGATTTTATTCTAAACATTTCTATGGAAATGAGAGAAGGTGAGCCTTATTTTAGATGACACAATTTGAAAGAGAACCAACCTGGAATTAAGGAGAAACTTCCTGACAGTGAGGACAATTAACCAGTGGAACAGTTCACCCCAAGAAATCATGGGCGCTCCATCCCTGGTGGTTTTTAAGAAGAGACTGGACAGTCACTTGTCTGAGATGGTATAGGTTCACCTGTTTGAGCAGGAGGCTGCACTAGAAGACCTCCAAGGTCCCTTCTATTTCTATTCTATTTCTATTCTATTCAATATGGCCAGGAGATTCTATATGAAGGCCCTTTAGAATATTTCACTTTAACAGGTAACATATTCATATTCAAGAACCCCAATCAAGAAAATGGCAAAGAGCCATTAGTAAACATCCCAACCAAAGGATCCCTAAGACTGCCCCCACCCACACAGTCAAGACACCAGAATATAAACTGACAGAAAACAGGACTCCTTACTAGCACTGATGATGTTACCTAGTTAGGGTAATGAAATGTCTGCAAGAAAACAAACAAGCTCAGAAAGCACCAAGGACCACTCATTTCAACCCTGAACTACAAATATTCTCCTTCATTAGATTCATATTCACTGGTTTGCAAGATACTTGCACTCTCCCCTTAAGCAATCTGTTTCTTAAAACAGAAGAGAAATGGTTGCTAAGTGAACATGTTTGTGTGATTGTGTATGTGAGAGAGAAGTGCTACAAAGATTGTTGTCTCATAGTTACACCAGTGTTGACTTTCATCTTAGCATACATATGTGCACATAAGTGTGCACATTGGTTGGAAAATGACCTTTTAAAATTACTGTTGTATTTGTGAATGGTTGCAAAATGAGGTAGCCACTTAACGAGGAATGGCTATACTTATTTGTTGCAGTTAATGGCGATACAACAATATTTCAGCTATTACACTATACCGGGGTAGGCGACCTTGGCTGGCTCAGGAATTCTGGGAGTTGAAGTCCACAAGTCATAAAAGAGCCAAGGTTGCCTACCCCTGCGCTATACCAAGAGCTTTTACAACATATACAACAGATAGGTGGCTACTAATTTTTCCACCTTTCGGGTTATGTCCATGATATTCTTCATTTGTTCAGGTTATCTGGCCTTCTGGTCAAGCTGCAGAGGCTCACCTATAGGCTTCAAATATCCTGCCTATGGTAAGAACTCTTTTAAATTCCTACCAGGCCAAGATTGTATGCCTTGCATGGCTAGCTAGAGAAATTCAAGTCTAAAGTTGCATCTCCTGATTCATCACATACAAACTATTCCATCTTCTATATTTTCCTCACTCTTTGCAATTGCCTCTTTTGGAAAGAAAGACATTTGTAGCTGTTTGTCTTTTCCAAAATATCTACAATGACCTTCAGAAATCATTCTCAGTTGGAAATGCATAATACCACAGTGACTATAGCAGAAACAGAATCATAAGAGTAGGCAGGGACCTTAGAGATCTTCTAGTCCTACATCCTATTCAAGGCAGGACACCTTGTACATCCTGTCAAATGGTTGTCCAGTCTATTCTTGAAAGCAATGGATTCTTGAAAGCAATGGATGTTTTTGCTCATGCTCAGGACAGGTGCTTTTATTATGTTTTCACTGCAGGGTGACCAACCCTAAATATATGTTTATAAGTATAAAAATAATGTTTAACCCATTAACCCATTGTGTACGACTTGCAATTTTACTTATGACTTTTCCACTGACTCTGCTTGGCAGAAGCTGGGTGTGAAACATGCAAGTACAGTAGGAATCATATGATTGTGGGACACTGCAACAGTTGCAAATGTGTGCAAGTTGCAAAGCACCCAAATGGCAATCGTGACTGTGGGGACACTGCAATGGTGTAAATGCAAGGACTGTCCATAAAGTTATTATTTCAATGCTGTCATAACTTCAAATGGTCAGTAAACAAGGCAGTAATTAAGCAAGGTCTACTTTTATCACGAAATCCCAAGAGGGATGTCAATATCCCCTCTGTGCTCTACAAAACTGTTTTAACAACTGACCAACAAGGAATGGCTATGGAGATTCTTAGTCATCCAGGTCATGGTTGTGATCACATCTTTCTTTGAGCCTTCCTGACAGTCTCTCTGTCTGACACTGGCAAAACTGCAATTTAATTACAGTCATTTACTTTTACCAAATATTACTTACTAGATGTCAAGAGATGGACAGATAAATTATCATTCATTTGTGGACTTGTTTCCTCTAGCACGTAAATAAGATTGTCATTCATTCATTCATACAAGTATTACATAGAGAACTCATAGAAGACGGGTTTATCTGTGCATTCACACAACCCAATCAAAACATTTGGCAAAATTGTGCCTTTAACTTTACAGAAATGTCTGGTATTGCTTTCATCCCTTGATCACTCCAAAACCACTTTCCATTTATTTACAAAAAGCAAGACATGGGGAAATCACACCCAAACACATGCATGCTGGAGAGGGGTGATTTGTTTTTTGTTTTTAAAAAAATCCTTCACAGTTCTTGAAGATTCTGACATGGAGCTTTGCCCAAGACCATCAACCTTTTGAGGAAGCACAGATGGCCCATCCATTAATCACATGAACAAATAATCAGCCTATTAATCACATTGTTAAAGCTTTATTCACACATACTGGTGAGCCTGTAATGTTCCAGAACTTACATTTAGTAGGAGGCTTGCCCTTTCCCTTCAGCATGGCTGTTTCAGCTAATCCTGCTTGATTGCCAGCATTAGCTCACTGAGAATTTCTGAGTTTTTCTTAGTGTATTTTATTGTGCTTTGTGTTTATATATTAAAATTTTAAATTACCACATAATGCTATCTCATCATATATCTTTATTTTCAGAAAGCAAAGAACTTAGTTTTATAATAACAGGATTGCATTGGTTGTGTGAATGTTGCACTTTTTCTTTCTGAAATAGCTTTTGGGTTATTTTCTCACTTAAATTCCTTCAAACACCAGTTCCAAATTAAAAAAAAATATTTTGCTATACAAAATGGAAGCATGTTGTAGAAAAATAAGTCAATTGAGAATGAAAATTACAGTTCTGTGGATTTTAAAAATCCATTTTTTAATATTTGTTTTCAGATGCCACTAAAGCAATAAATTAAACCACCCATACATTCAATGTTAAAAATATTCATGTTTTTTCAAAATGAAAATTTTGAATACATTTGCATAAGTGAAGGTTTTGTAACTATGCAAGAAAATCAAGACATACTTCTTTATTCATTTGCAGCTACACAGTATTGTGTCAAACATCTGGTCTGTGTAAGAATTAAGTGCAAATGCTGACAACAAGCATTATATTTGCAATAGTAAATTTTCATTTGAATAATAGTAAAGTAAGATTTAGATAGCTCCCATAACGTAACTAATTTTGTAAGAGAAACCTGGCTGAAGAATTTGAAACTACTAACAATAAACAAAAATGTAATTCCATCTTTTAATTTCAACCTGCCTATTCCTTCTAGGACATCGACACTTTTCCCACAGTGACCACCGTGCTTTTTCTTTGTCTTCATATTTTGAATGACGTGCAGCATAGACATCATCAGACAGATCTTCTGCCTAAGCATTAGAATAGTCATATTGTAAATCTTATTTAATGAATGAGAAGTCTTCTCATAAAACATTGTTACGGATTCAGCATTCCAAAATATACTGAGCATTGATGGGAATCTGGGCCAAAATACAAGAGTGAGCAATACATACTTTGTCTTATCTTTTCCCCCATCTATCACCACAGCCTTTCTTTACAGATACTCCACCAGTTTACATGAATGAATACATACCTAGCTTGCTCCATTCTTGTTTTTAAAGACCTAAATGGACTGGAGCCTTTTCTCTTACTTTGATAAGGTGGCAAAATAAAAATAATAAAATGTTGCTGTTTCTCTTCCATGGAGACGGGAACTTTGCCCTGCTCACCTATTAATTTGATGGCGGCCATTGCCATGACCATAATATCCTTCTGGACTGATGGCAAGAGTGGAGAGTTGGAGGTATTATGGAGGTTCCACATGATGATTGGGGTAGGGAGGACTCTAATATGGTGTATCATGAGCTCAGGGATTACCCCTATGCTATTCAATATTTACATGAAACATGATACAATCAAAATTGCCCTAAACTCAGTAAAGGAAGGGTTTATGATTTAAGGATCTTTCTGGGGTCTAAGCTCCTACTCACAGGATAAGCAGAAATCAAGGCTGGGTCTCTGCCCAGCTCTTGAGGGTGAACCAGAATGCCATGGTGATGGAACTCTCATCTGCTCACTACACACTTGGACTATTTCATCACAGTATGTGGGACCCCAGGTGCAAGTCACTTAACAACTGACTTGCGTAGCAATGGAAATTCTGGTCACAATTGTGGTTGTAAGTCCACAATTACCTGTATGCATTTGGGCCTTTCTGATTATGGGCAGTCATCATAGGAAATCTAGGCATGCTGATATTTGGACTTTTTATTGTGTAGTTGATTTATACACATACACACTGTCCTTCACAATTTGGACAGGCTACAAATATCGTTAACAAGCAAACAACAGTAGGGACTACTGAAAATCAAGTAAGTTCTTGCCAGCCACAGTTGACCCTGGTCAATAGATTTGTGAAGACCTGTCCAAACCAATGCTATCAATCGATCCCATTTTAGTAAAAACTCTCAAAATATTCTTTTGCACTCTGTCCCTTACCTGTCCCAGAACAAGAATAATTTCACTCTCTCTTCTGCCGTATGTGTGTGTGTGTTTGTGTGCCTTCAAATCATGCTGACTCCTGCAAGTCCCTGCATGTCTCCTGGCAGTATTTTTGGAAGTATTTTGCCACTGCCTTTTCCCCTAGAGCTGAGGGAGAGGGTCCGACCCAAAGTAACCCAGTTGGCTCTGTGTTAAGGTAGGACTAGAACTCATGCTCTCCCAGTTTCTAGCCTGATGCCTTAATTACAACACCAAACTGACTCTCCTCTATAGTTTTAGATAAAAAAAATACTCAAAGTACTTATAATTTTATTATGCATTTTATAATAAAAATATTTTTATTATCAAATTTGTTTTACTTTACATATACAGTAAGTTGTACAATGGGTAGTAGCGTGAGGGAAACATTATTCCTTGAAATGTGAAAGTAATTATATCCTTTGAAAGACTTTTGTGGTAGCTTCAAAGACTGTTCCCAGGTCTCTGAACATGCAGTTGTACATATATAGCTGCTTCATTTCACTTGTGGTTCCAGTATTGTATGTTAATAACTGAAGCAGCCACCTAAACCTCCCAAAGGATATATCAACTTTCAGATTTCATGAATGCTTTGCTCCTTCTAACATGCTTTCATTTCAATGCTTTCACAATCCTGATATATAATAAATTTATCTGTGAATAGAAATACAAAATTCCTCACTGCAAAACAACAGTTGAACATAAATAGACCTTACCTTCTCTTCATCCTCATGCAGTTTTTCTAAAGGTTTTAGGCTAATTATTCTCCAGCTGTTAATAAAAAAGATTCTTCCTTGAAAATTGTTCATATAAAACTCAAATCTAATTCATTATGAAAAATAATTTCTACTCTAAACACTGCAAACACACCTGCCGATTCAATTACATAATTGAATTTTCTCATAGTTAATGTTTACCTGTTTCAAAGTCATTGGCTTTGACATAATTTAAATTAAGATTTCTCTTTTTATCTTATGAAATCATTTGTGCAAATGCACCAAAGTACTGTGTTTATTTGAACATAAGATCACGTGTTCCCATGTAATTTTAAAATTGCAGGGTCAACCCATATTGGTAAGATTACGGTTAAGGGAGGCCAATAACTTTTTTTAATAATCTTTTGTTTATGGAAAAGATTATCTTAAATTAAAAGTAACCTTGCTTTTAAGTGAAGATAGTATCTGCTTTTATGCGATTCTTTGTAGTGTTACATGGCTACAAATTTATTAATAGCCTGTACAAATGGGCAATATATTCCCATTTTAAACAAATATTTCTTCTCATCTGTGTTTTCTACTTTCTTGGTATATTTCCATCAGAAATCTTATATTAACCAAAGAGTTACCTTTGTAATTGGTTCATTTTCTTTCCTCTTTCTAAGGTAGCTAAGGTAGCAATGTCCTGATAGACTAGATACTGTTTCACTGACTTGCAATGAACATCAGTAATGACAAACAAATGTTGTGAATGTCTGAAAGCAGAGACACACTGGTTGCTTCTGACAGCTGCTTAAATGTAGTCATCACAATTCACTGGTATATGGCTGAAAAGTGGGGAAATATCTACAGTTGCATGAAAAGATCTAGGCATTTCTGGTCAAATTGTATGTTTAATAAACCACTAAATGAACAGGTGTGGCTTGTTTTTTGTTTATTAAAAATGCTTCATCCTTTCTCTTCCAGATATATTGTGTAGTTGTAACCAATCAGTTTAATTTTGGTTTCATTAATCCAAAGAATCTTGTTCCAAAACGTTTCAAGCTTATAAATATGTACTAAGGCTATGACTATTGAAACTAGGTCAGATAAAAGATTTCCTTCTGATAACTGTGGATGACTGTTGGAAAAGTAATGTTATACAATGGACCTGTAACCAAGTATTCCTGTGTTGGTTCACCTTTTCAGGAGGATATTTGGGATATATACGGATGCAGTTTAGCAAGTCTGAATAGCACAGCTTTCCCTCAGTTTTCTGGATCTTTCCATTCCATTTAATTTCCATTTCTTAATAATGTTTCTTTCAGTTGAAATAAGTATAAGTGTTTAGATATTTAGATACTTTATAGCCCTCACTGGCTTTTCAAAAGTAAATTATTTTTATTTTTAAATACTCAGAAATCTTCTTAAAAGAGCCCATGATTGGTAAAAATATTTAATTATTTCCCCTAGGCAATTATAGATCTGATTCATTCACCATTAGTAACTTAATACTACTAACAACTTTACAGAAAAGGAGGACAACAGCTGAATCAACTTGAAGGATGTTCAAATTTTTGCATTTGCCATAATTATATAGAAGTATATCAGCTTCTGTTCACTTGGGGATTTGTCAAACGTTTTACAAGGAATGACTAAACTTTTACATGCAACTGTACTTTCAAGCATTTATAACATTAATATAACATATGAATATATGTAGTATGATAGTGCCAAACAATTTTTGGATTTATATAGTAACAATGAAACAAACATTTTACTTTAAACAGTTATGAATTTTCATATAAATCAAGTATCTTAATATTTTCTGTCTACTGCAATATTATATACACAGAAAATACATTAATTGCACTGAACTCTGTTCATTCATTTGAATATTGTATGACTTGATCAAAAATAAACAAGATGAGTTTATATCTTTAACAGTACAAATCCTACAACTTTTCTGAATTAGCTCTGCTATTAATCCATGGGGTAAAGTCTGTAATATATTTGTTTTACAGGAAAGAAATTTAGATTTATAGAAACTTGTGATATTCTATTAACCAACATAAGACATCTATAGCAAGAATCAGACCCAATAATTATTGAAAGCATTAAGAACAAATCCCAAGAGCAGTGTTATAGTTTATATTTATATATAAAATTCAATAAAATTTCAAATACCTTGGGGTAAGAATTTCTTTATACTGAAGTTTCTCCAGTTTTGATGGTGCAATTAATGACATAGGAATAACAATATTATCTATGTCATAGGAACACTCACTTCTCAGTCTCCGCCTTGAATTGAGCTGTTTAAAAATGGTTTTATTTGACATTACAAAGCTATATGAAAACCAAATAAATTTCAGTGCATGTACTAGTAATAATACTGAGTTTTCAAACTCAAGATAAATACAATAATTTTCTACATAATATTTTCTTTTGAAACTGGCAATGTTTCTTGTTGGTATTATAAAGTCATACTTATTTCGAATGTATAAAATTGTGGAGAAATAATATTGAATTGTTGAAATTGTAACTATTAGGACAGTAAATTTGATACTAAACTTGTACCTAGTTTAAACCATTAAAATGAAATTACACAAAATGATAAAAATCAAAAGCATTTTTAAAAATATGATTATGATTGCTTGGATCAGCGGTCCCCAATCTTTGTGGCTTGGTGGCCCGGCAGGGAGAGAGAAGGTAACCGGGCTGCACAAATGTTGGTTGGTGTGTGCCCACACAAGCAGCTCCACTCAAGAAGCTTTTGAGGCACGGTTTCACACTCCTTCAGGCTTCTCTGCGCCAAAAGCTTTTGCAAAAGGACGGAAGACCTGAAGTCACAAGAGATCACTCCCCTGAAACCTTTCGTTCCTTTGCAAAAGCTTTTGGTACAGAGAAGAGAAGCTTTTGGGAGAGCAGTTTCGTGCTCCTTCAGACTCACCAGGGCTGCCCAACATTCCAAAAGCGGATTGGGTGTCCTGCACAGGCAGCCTTGGTGAGTCAACAAAGCTGAGCAGGGTGCGCTCGTCCCACTCAACCTCTGCTCTCACCACTCCGCTTTGGGAGCAGGCGGCTTGGCGGTCCAGCTGGGGGGGGGAGAGGGGAACCAGGCTTCATGAGTGATGAGCTGGTGCTTGCACGCACACAGCTCCACTTGCACAGGAAAGAAGTCTTTGGGGTGCTGCTCATGCAAATGGAGCTGCGTGTGGACACTGGCCCACCTCTCGCACGGCCCAGTTCCGAATAGGCCATGGCCTGGTAGTGGGCCGTGGCTCGGGAGCCTTGTTTAGATAATAGATAAAAGATAAGTGCTTAGATAATCACTTCTAATCACTATAATGCCCATAGCCTGGCAAACGTCCCTTAAGTAACCATCATACTGAACTTGCAATCCCTTCAGGGCAAAGCAAAGGCTTCTAGCTATAGCATCTTTATTTTTCCCTAGAGATAATAAGAAAGGTAATACTATAAAGTATTATCTAACAGGTGAGTAAGGTTTTTCTCTGGTAAATAGCAAGGCTAAAGCACTGCAAGAAGAAGAATTAATTTTTTTTCCATTTCTTGATAAAGAATTGATGGGAGAGCTATGAAGAGGCTGGATTAGGAAAACAAAAACACAGTTTCAGAAGACTATGCAGAGAAGACTTGGAAAGGGATAAAGATATAGACAGGAAATGAAAAAAAGAAAAATGGAGAAAAGCAGGCAGGCAGAGAATGCTGGGTTGGTTTTGAAGAAAAAAGAGGCAGAAAGAACACTTAAGTTTTTTGCAATATTACAAAGATCCGTACTAAAGTTTTCAACATTTTGTGACATTGGGAAGATGCCTCAGAACAATGCTCAGGGCACTTTTTAAAGGATTATAGACTGCTTTTATAGTTCAAGGCCAAGATTCAGCTTCTGAATCAGACTCGGTTTCTATATATTCTGTTATAAAAGCCTTAGGAACAAAAACAAATTGTAATTTGTCTTGCTATTAAATGATAATGTGATGTAATTTTAACAGTCACCTGAGCAGATACATTCAGAAATCCATCCTATATTTAATAATATTTTACTTCTGAGAAGTATGTTGAAGCATGAAATATGATTTAAAATTCATTAAAGAGAAATAGTAAACTTCAGCTCCTAAAAACTTAAAATTCATCATTGCAGAAAAATGTCACTGCCCCATAGAAGCTGTTTAAAAGAGTTACCCATTTATTTATTTATTTTGAAAAAATAGATAATGTGATAATATTATACCTGTGAAGAGATAGTATGACTTGATCTAGATAACATGTCAACATTGGATACTGCTGTAAAATTACTGTAAGACTCCTGTCCTTCATGCTGAAAAGTCAATACTTCACAACTATTATTTTCTCCTGCGATGAAAAGATTAAAAACATCAATTAATGAACAAAATTGTAAATAACGCACATACAACATAGATACTTCACAGGAAATTGAGAAAGCATATCCAGAGTAGAAACTAGGCTAGCAATGCAATTATTATGAGTTTTTCACCCCAGATCACGGAACAAAATAACAGAGTTGGAAGGGACCTTGGAGGTGTTCTAGTCCAACCCCCTGCTCAAGGAGGAGACCCTATACCATTCCAGACAAATGGCTGTCTAGTCTCTTCTTAAAAACCTCCAGTGATGGACCCCCACAACTTCTGAAGGCAAGCTGATTTATTGTTCTGTTAGGAAATTTCTCCTTAGTTCTAGGTTGCTTCTCTCCTTGATTAATTTCCATCCATTGTTTCTAGTCTTGCCTTCTGATGCTTTGAAAAATTAGGTCAGCCCTCAAATATTGGAATACTGTTATCATGTCACGCCTGGTTCTTCTTTTCACTAGACTAGACATACCCAATTCCTATCGATTCTCTACACTGAATTTCATTTTATTCGACAGGGTACATTGGATGCATAAATATGGAAATATTACACCTGTTACTACAGAATTTGTTGTCCATACTACCATCAGTTTTAATGCTTGAGTCATACACTGTACTAAAAGGAAACATCTTTTTAATTAACTTACTTAACTAAGTTAAGTAATGTTTACTTTTTTAAGCAACCTAGAACTAAGGAGAAATTTGCTAACAGTGAGAACAATAAGCCAGTGGAACGGCTTGCCTTCAGAAGTTCTGGGTGCTCCATCATTGGAGGCTTTCAAGAAGAGACTGGACAGCCACCTATCTTAAATGATATAAGGCAGTGGTTCTCAACCTTTTTAATGCCGCGACCCCAACCGGTCGTAAGTCAAGGACTAAACCGGTCGTAAGTTGAGGACTAAACCGGTCATAAGTCGAGGACTAAACCGGTCATAAGTCAAGGACTACCAAACCGGTCGTAAGTCAAGGACTTTCCCTGCCCGGGAGTGCCATGCATGCATGGTTCCGCCCCCTGCGCCGGCCGAGGCATAGCTGGCAAGCGGCAGAGACGGAGCAGGCTGACCACCAGCTGGCCCAGCCCAAGGGAGGTAAGGCACCCGCCGGAAAAGGGGGAAAAAATGGCAGACAAAAAAAAATGGCGGACAAAAAAAAATGGCGGACAGCCTTGCTTGGCGACCCCCGTGAAATGGTCGATCGACCCCAAATGGGGTCCCGACCCACAGGTTGAGAACCACTGATATAAGGTCTCCTGCTTGAGCAGGGGGCTGGACCAGAAGACCTCCAAGGTCCCTTCCAGCTCTGTTATTCTATTCCATTGATAACAATTTTATGCAGATCCTATAAAAAAGAGACAGCTCCAATGAATGGTATAGCTAAATTGTTCAATTGTTTTCTTTAATTTCTTTAATTAAATATTATATTTAGTTCATTGTGTTCTTTATTACTGATTTAGAAAACTAGTGAGACAGCATTTTTCTGAACTTAATAAATTGAAAGTATGTTTTTCATACTTTTTCATATGTTTTTATGTGCTTTCACATGAAATTGTGTCCAGTACCTTTCATCTTTGGACGAGTTCAGGAAGATTAGGAATACTAACCCTGCCACCCTACAACTAGCTTTTACATGTAAAACAGTGAATAAATATAATGAGATCTTCTGCTCATTCCATTCTCATTCTTGAGCCCCATGTACACTCAAATTTAGAGATATTGGCCAGAAGTGAATTCACAGACCACCTTGCTTCTTGAAAAATGACAAGTAAGCAACAATCTTCTTTATAATACTAAAATCAATACTAGTAGTTTATTAAACCTGTATACTGCCTCTTAACAACTTTTTAATGGGATCCTGTTAATGGAAGCTTAGGAAGTTTACATAGCAGAAATCATCAGTATCACAGAAAAGTGAGTGAAAGATGCTTTTGAGTTCAAATAGAGAATTATTATTTCACCCTATTGATTTGCAATCGTGGCTTCCTGTTAAAGTTTTTATTAATTTATTTTAATAGTGAAGACACATTTCCCCTACCAGAATAAGTCTAATCCAAATTCCTCTGTGCAGGGTTTTAGGTCTCCAACGTGCCTTATTGTTTTGAATGAGATATGAAAGTAAAGATCAGAGTCTGGCTCTTAATGTTTATACATTGGTTAAAAAAATGTGTCCTTACCACAGGATCTTACCCTCTTGAGGATGTCAGGTAACTATCACTAAAAGAGTTCCCTTATAATCAAATTATAGACAATTTTCTTCCACAAAATATATTGTACTAAAAGGGGGCTATGATCAAGAGATGTTGCTCATTAACAATAATGAGATGTTTCTCATTATGAATGTAGAGTGCCAAATTGATCTAGTTCTTAAATTATCTGTGGACTACTGAATAGGGTATCTTCTAAAATGAGCCTTATACCTCAAGGATTATTCAGGATACAGAATATCTCATAACCTGGCAAGGTGCAGTGCTCTTTTTTCAGTGGTGCTGGCAGGTACATATAAAAAAAAAATCCCTATCCAGTATAATTGTATGCCTTTTCCATAACACTGTTTATCCCTAGAAGGAATAGTGTCATGAGTACTATGTATGTGTATGTGTGTGTGTATATGTGTACTTACCAGACAATGTCTCGCTTAAATGTCTTTTCTTCCTTCCCTCTGGAAACTGTTCAGATACTTTTGCCATAGTTTGATGTTTAGAAGTGGATTCATATTCATGGCTCAACTGTTGAAGAGGAGCTTTAATTTGACTAAAAACTGGGATAAAAACAAACGTAACTTCACTGTGATTCTTTCTCTATTTAAATCACACAGGAAATGTTTACATTCTAGCAGTATGCTTTTAAGACATTGAATTACTTAAAGCCAAAAATATATCAAAAATGGTCAATGATTTCAGTCATAATTTATATATGGGCACAATTTATATATATTTTCCTTGCTGTAAAATTTACTAGATACAGAGGGGCATGTAGAATAGATTTATTTTAAATCAAACTGATTTAAGTAACTACACATTATCAATTTATATATTTAAAAGATGATTCGTTCACTAATCAGGAAGATTCTTTAATAATTTCTAATAAAGAAAAATCTGGTTTGATATATTCATTAGTATAGAGCTGTGGTGGTGAGCCTGTGGCACGCGGAGCCGTCTCTGATGGCACGCGAGCCATTGCTGGGCTGAGCTATTCCCTCCTCCTCTCCGCGCATGCACAGCTCTCCGCACATGTGCAGTCTGGGAATAGGCGAGAGGCTATAAAAGGAGCAAATTTCGGCGGAAGCAGCATTTGCTGCAGACAACGAGAGAGCAAGCATGAGTTGGAGCGGACAGCAAGTGAGTGAGCGAGTGAACACAAGCCGACAGCTCGGTGGCCACACCCACTCGGTGGCCAGGCCCACCTGGCACCCGGCAATGCACAAGTGGGTTTTGGGTTGCAGTTTGGGCACTTGGTCTCTAAAAGGTTCGCCACCATTGGTATAGAGTAAGCGCAAAACAGAGATGGATAAATTTCATTTTCAGAAAGTGCATACGATATAAAATATTTGGTCAGATGTTTTTCAGGTGAATTTTCACTACAAAAATGGAATGATGGTCTCAGTTTTGAGGAAACAGATATATATTTTTTCAATCATATTAAATATTAGTTCTTATCAATCAAAAATATAAAAACACAGGAAAACAAACAAACTATTGAGAACTGGAATAAAAATAGTTTTTTTAATACTGCATACCATTTAATGGAGATATTTTGTACTCTAAACCAAGAGCAGCACCTTCAAAAGCATCACCTTTGATTTCATATTTCTTGAGTAAAGTTTTAAAATGAACATGTAGAGGAACATCTGCAAAAATATTTAAATAGATAACTTCATTTATTTATTTAACACATTTACTGTACATAGCTGTCCATCTTATATCTAACTCTGGATGGCTCCAATTAGCTATTAAATAATATCAATCATAAAACAACGATACATAAATATATTAAAAATACAAACATTAAAAAACCT